TGCCCAGGTTGGCCCCAAACTCCTGGGCTCAGTCAATCTTCCTGACTCAACCACTTGAGTAGCTGGGCCTATATGTGTATGCCACTGCACCTGTCTCATTAATTTATTAAGCACATTTTTTCTCCACCTGATGCTGGGAGCTAGAACTGTACTTCCAGAGGCCTCCCTGCTGAGAGGAGGAGCAGGTGGGCGGGCCAACCTGGCACAGGCATTCCCAGTCTCCCTAAATGTCCACCGCAGTGGAGAAGACAAAATCTGCATCTGGAGGGATCAGAGAAGACTTTGTGGAGGAAGGGGCATTTCATCGGGGGCTTTCAAGTATGTATAGGAGTTCACTATCCAGGTATCCTTGTTTGCCAGGGAAAGGGGAGCCTGAAGCTTCTTTCACCTACCCTGGTCAGGATGCTTGGGTTAAAAAGTCATCCACGAGGAGAACCTCACTTCTAGTTTGTGTACCTGTCTTACATCCACATCCTCTTGGGCTACTGTCGCTGTAAGCTGTACTATTTAAGTTGTGCATGTGCAGGTGCAAATGGTTCTAGAGGAGGAGGTCACCTTCTCCATCCCCCTGCTGCCTGGGCACAGGTTTTCCTGGCAGGTGCTAATACACTGCACATATTGATCTTTCTGGCTTCCCTGTCTGCACCTTGTTTTGCCCTGAGGAGTAATTCCCTTAGAGACCATTCCTACCCCTGCCCAGAGTATTCCTCATTCTCGCCTGCACCCACCTCCTGCTGCACGGTGCAGGGGAACCAAACCCTGCCTGGGGGACCCCAGCCTCCAGAACCATCTGTAGCCTGCTTGTTTCCCTCATCTGACACCTAAGAGCTGCGGTCTTCAGTGGAGCTGCTGATAGCCACCCTGGGCCTTGGTTTCCCCCTGCAAAACGGGCTGCGATCAATCGTAATCAAGGGCTCTCGAGTGATTTCCACGCTCACCAGCTTGCAGGTTTATTGTCATTTTCCCCTGTGGCCTCCGGCAGAATTTAGGATTTTTGTTGTCAAGTTGTTACCAACCTCAGAAGTAAAAACCTCGGTGTTGATTTCTTTGGCTTCTCTTTGATGCTTAGCGGAAGGTTGGCACTGGGAACAGGGTGGAGGGTGGGGTGCAAGATCCCTATCCCTGGAGCAGTGATTGCTGACCCATCACTGAAGGGGTTAATGGGAATTTGCAACTGATTTCCTGTAAACCACACTGTTTTCCTGGCCCTGCCAGGGGAGGAGGGAGGCCCCAGAACAAACCTGGCTCCTGCCTGCTCTGATTGCAACACCCTGGGAGAGGAGGAGGAGGAGGAGAAGGAAAAAGCATTTGCTTATTTGCACAACTAAAACTGAGGTTCAGCTTTTGAAATTGAATCCCCCAGCCACCCCCCAAGACTTCCTCTATTTCTTCCTTCATCCCTTGCCCCAAGATACCCACTTCCTACTTTCATCAAGGCCCTAGCTCCAGGCTTTGGTGTTTGCCGTAATTCTAGCCCTGGCTTCTGTCTTGTTACAAGCTTGGCCTCTTCCTCTCTGGACACTTGGGTAAGTCACCTGCACATTCTATGCAAACCCAGGCAACGGCAAGGGTGGCTCTAGTTTATCCTTCTTTGTTGCAGAGTAGTACTCCATTGCATACCAGTGCCACACTTTTGATCTTTTGTTTGGTTTTTGTCTTGTGTGTGTTAAAACAGGGTCTTGCTGTGTAGTCCAGGCTAGCCTTGAACTCACTATGTAGCCATGGCTGGCCCCAAACTTGGAGCAAACTTGTGACACTATTCAGTGTGAGGGTTGATGCTGGTCATGTTCACAGTGCTGGAAAGGGTCCACATAGCTAGAAAGGGTCCACATCCCATCATGGCTTTCGGAAGACAGCAAAGGAGAAGGAACAAGAGATACCGAGGACTGGAGCAGGGGGAGGAGGCGAGAAGCGGGAATTCCCTCAGTCCTGATTTTCCCCTAGTGGACAAGATAAGCCAGCGGAGGGGGAGCTCGGACTTGTGGGGGGAATTTCCACTTAACCAGACCCACCCAGGCCTGCATTCCAGCTCCAGGGCAGAGAGAGGGCAAGACCTCCTGATGCTACACGGGAGAAAGACAGTGCTAAAAAGGCACAGCTGGGCGGGCAGCGCAGGCCTGGCATCCGGGTACTCTCGGGACTGGAGGATCGCAAGTTCTAGTTCAGCCTGGGCCACTTGGTGAGGGCCTGCTTCAAAATAAAGCAGAAAAAGGAGAGGCTGGGGAAATAGCTCAGTACAAAGGCCCTGCTGGGTTCAAGCTCCTGTAGCAAACAAAAGACAACAGGGGCAGGGGAGATAGCTCGGTGGTCTAAGCTCCTGCCTGGCAACGGCAGGACCCAGGTTCGATCCCCAACACCACACGCCGTGTTGGCCTCACGCTAAGCCAACCGCTGAAATCGGGTGTGGTGGCGCACGCCTGTAATCCCAGCACTGGGGAGGCTGAGCAGGAGGATCACTATGAGTCCGAGCTGTGGAGTAAGACCCTGTAGCAAAGAAAGAGAAGAAGGAAGGAAGGAAGGAAGGAAGGAAGGAAGGAAGGAAGGAAGGAAGGAAGGAAGGAAGGAAGGAAGAGCGAGCACACACTTGCAGCGCATGCGCTTACCTCCTTGTATGGAGCCGGCACATTACATAACACATCTTAATTCCTCTGTCTCACCCCCTTTCCTTCCTTTCGCTTCTCCTCCCTCTGCTCCTGATGTTTCCTCTCTGAGAAAGGTCTCTCTCCTTATTTGCTATTACTTATCTTTTATTTTGCTCTTTATCATTTCAGCTTCTCATTTTAAAACAACGGTGCAGCATTTGAGCTTGTGTGTTGGGTTGTTCCACTTAACATTATGGCCTCAAGGAGCATCCGTTTTCCTACAAATGGCTTAAGTTTATCCTTCTTCATGGCAGAGTAGTACTCCCTTGTGTGAGAGACTGCTTTCTTTATCCAGGCATCTGCCAATGGACATATAGGCCAACTTAGAGATCTTAGCATTTCCCTCAAAGTACCCAAAGTGTACCTTGTGATTTACTGGAAACTCAATTTTAACTAGAAATCCTGTGTTTTGTCTGGCACCCCTAACTGGAAACCACGACAAGAGGCAGGAATGATCTCAGGGTAGATTTCTAGAACCCTGACCCTGCACTGCCCGGATTTGGTCACCTCCTGAAATACTCTGTTCTCTCCTCAACAAAGGTGCGTCCGGGCCTGCTAGGTGCAGGGAGCCCTGCCGCCTGTTCCTTGCAGTTCTGGGACAGAGTGGATGCCACTACTGTGCTTTCCTGGAATTTCCCTCCAAGACAGTCGCCTGGTCCACTCCATTACTCATTAACTCCTGGGTGGCCTTGACCCGGCCAAATGGCTCAGCTGCACATGACCGTGGGCTCTGCTACCACTTGCTCATGCGCAGTCGTGGGCACTGGGGACCCCGGCTCTCAGAGGACACAGGGGTTTGGACTGCAGATACGTAGGGTGCCCTGAGCCACCCCGGTCCCATGTCTCAGCCTCCAGTTCTTCTCCAAACTGCAGATCCACAGCCTAGAAGCCCCTTTCTGGTTTGCAGTGAGGATCCAGCCATGCTAGGCAAACAGAACACGTGTCTGCTCACCCTGCACACACTGACCGCTTTGCTTTTGTAATTCTTGGGACACCTGCTGTTTCTCACCCTCCGCCTAACTCTGGTGATGGACGGCCGCCCACCTCAAGTCCTCCTGTCTTGTCCCTGGACCCAGACGCTAGCCAAGCCCCTGCCTGGAATCTTTCTCCCAATACCGCCTTCCTCCTGCCTCCTCCACCCCTTCCCAGCTACTCAGGAATTTCCAAGGTCCTCCGTTTAGTCTCATCCTCATGCCCATCTTGCATCTCGCACCACCTTTCACTGTGGCAGCCTTGGGGTCAGGGTGTGCACGACTGTGGGGGTGGGGAGCCCACGTACCTGAGGGAGGCCGAGCTCCTCAGGCTGTGTCTCTCCTCCCTCTTGATTCGGCCGTGGCATGGGCCCTGGCAGACAACCCCAAACGTGTCTGCCTTAAGGCTCCTTGTGCCTCCAGGATGTCTGAGCTATGCCAGGCTTCCGCCTCACAGCCCACAGGGCGCCCCCACTTCCTTCTGCATCTGGCTGGGCAAGGCCTGTGGGCCCCAGATGGGTCTGCTTTGTTCACTGAGCACTTACACTGCAGCCCTCCCCCTGCCCCGTGCCCGAGCCCCTTCCAAGGACTGTTTTAGGAAGGGCTCCTGGGTGCCCGGGGGGCAAGAGGAATCTCCAGCACCCATCCCTACTGGTGGACACCCCAATCTCTTGTCACACCTCAGTCACGGGGATGACTCAACCGAACATAGAAGGCCCAATATGACATGCCAGGAACAGAGGCTGAGCCACACAGTCATGGGCAGCAAGGGAGGAGAGGTGTGCTCACAGGGACTCTAATGGAGGGGCAATGCACAAGCGCTTAGCGCCTGGCTCCGAGCCCAGCCTGCCAGCCCACAAGCTGGGTGACTGGGCAAGTTAGGTAGCGGCCCCACTGTTGGCTGCGCTCTGCATCCCAGCCACCTGTGGGTCTTTGTGTTGCAATTTTTTTTCTTGTTACCAAAGCCCTCTGCTGTGAGCCACACCGCTAGTCCTATTTTATTATTATTTTACCTCAAGACGGGCCTTGCTAAATCACTAAGCTGCCCCAGCTAGGCTCAAATTTCCAGCCTCCTCACAGGGCCGGGAAGACAGGTGTGCTGCCCCCTCGGGGTGAAGTATCCCTTCCAATCCCTCCACCTTCGCTGAGCTTCCGGGCTGGTCAGGGCCCTGCGCAGACTCCGTCACAGGAGGACTCAGGGACAGCACTGCCTGGGTCACCACTCATCCCTTTATCGGCAGAGCACCTGGCAGGTACTAGCTGCTCAATGGGTATTTAATGAATGTTTAGCTAGTGGCTGCTGTACCCCACCCGCGAATACCAATTTCTAATCTGTAAACACAACTTCTACCTTGGACCTCAACTCCAGAAAGACAAGAAACTCTAATAATAAAAACAGACTGATCATTATTGTACAGCGGGAAGTGCAGGGTGGCCCCGCAGCCAGAACAGGGCAGCCCAGGGTCTGGGGCCTGGGGGGGGGGGCAGGGCGAGGCATCTGTCTTCACTGGGCTCCTCCTGGGGAGGTGGATGCCTGGAGCTGGCCCTGCCACCTCCCCACACCGGCTCTGAGCTGGTGGGTGAGGCAGGAGGCTGGGTAGGAAGAGGACGGCTGGAAATGGCTGGCCCCAGCAATGGCGGTGGTCACACCTTCTCCTGTCCGCTCACTGTTCTGTTGACTTTGGAGAGGCCTTCCCGGAACCCCGAGTCCGTCATCCTTTGGGCAGACACCAGGTGAGCAGGCAATGTGAGAGCGAAGGCCAGCAGCCCACTCCACCTCTGTGGCGGCCTGGCTCTGCCCACAGCGCACCCTCAGCCACCGGGACTGGCCTCAGCTCCTCCAGAGGCCAACTCCCACCAGCCGGCTCAGCCCCGCGCCTCAGCTGGAGGGGCTCTGCCTGGACCAGGCCTTACACTTGCTCTATCTGGATGTCCTCCTCGTCCTCCTGGGGCAGCTGCAGGTACGGGTTGTCTCTGGTAGGCTGGAACTTGTAGCCGGTGAGCACAAAGAAGGCCAGCGTGGAGCCCTCCACTAAGAGCTGTGGGACACAGGCATGGGGCGGGCCGTCAAGTGTTAGGGAGCCCCCACTCCCAGTGGCCAGCCTGTCCACACCCCTCACCTGGTACAGCCACTGCCACTGGAAGGGCACAGCCACCCGCAGCAGAATGGCAATGATACGCGTGAAGTAGACATAGCAGATGACCTGTGGGACGGAAAGAAAGGACATGGACGGGCGGGGGACACCTGGGGTGGGTGGTGCCGTGGGCCAACGGGGTGGGGGTACCTACCATGACATAGTAGTGTCGGAACAGCTTCAGCTTGGCCAGGTTCACTGTCACTGAGGAGGGGTGCAGGGAGGGGGCAAGAGTCACCCAGGAGGGAAAGAGGAATAGGGTGGACACAGCAGACTGTCCCAGGGTCAGACAGTCTGAGGGAAGGTGAAACGGCGGTGAAAGGAGAAGACTGAAGCCTTCGGGCTGGAGGTGGTGTCCTCAGGGAAGGAGGCCAAGGGGTGGGAGGGGTCAGGAGGTGCAGGGAGCAGCAGTGGGGAGGGTGTGGGAAGGGGGCTGGTGCAGAGCAGCCTCACCCTTCCCATCTGTGCCAGATCCGTCCTGGAGATGCCGGATGGACCTGGGACAGGCAGGGCACACACAGCATGGTCAGCTTGGAGGACTCTGCCCCAGTGCTCACGGGAGGGGCCGCGGTATGGGCGTGGTCTCGGCCGTGGGCGGGGCCTTACCAGACCACTGGGAAGAGGATGGCACCACAGCATATGAGGTCTACCAGGAACAGGATCTCCTTCCAAAGCCCATAGTCGCTGGCACCCTTTTCTCGGGACTCCATGACGATGTAGGCCACGTTGGCCAGGACCTGGGCAGCAGGGCGGCGGGTGCATGGGTGCCAACTGAACTGTACCCACCCCTCCCCACCTTACTCGGGGACCTCCTCACACGCACCTGCAGGGGAATCACAATCCCGAAAATCTTCTTCTCCTTGTCGGAGAGGACGTACTTGATGAAGGCCCAGCCAGAGCCAATCAGGGCAATGGTGATGAAGAGGAGCGCGCCCTTCAGCCTGGAGCACCAGGGGGTCCAGTGAGGAGGTGGGAGCCCAGCCTTTCCCACCCACTCGGCAGAGGGGACACTCACAGGTGCGTGATGTAGTGCATGACAGCAAGGCCCTCGATGGGGTGGCCCTGACTGTTGATGAAGTAGTAGTTGATCTGGAGATGGACGGAGGGGCACAGTCAGGCGAGCGGAAGGTGGGCACGTAGAGGCGGGGCTTAGGAACAGGGGCCATGGGCAGGAGGGTGGCCCGGCAGCCCAATGCGCTGAGGGTTTCAAGCAGGGCGTAGGGTGGGACCAGAAATGGTCACAGCCACAGCAGTGCAGGGGTAGGCACAGCTGGGTGGGCAGGGCAGCTAGGTCACCACTGGGCCAGCAGGCAGACAGCCTGGAGGGCAGTGCTGAGTGGGACAGAGGGACTGGTAGATGGATGAAACTCACGGAGGACCAACTGTGCAGGGGACACAGGGACTCCCAATCCAGGCTACAGGGAGGGGTGGCCTACCCGGTGCAGTGCTCCCAGCCTACCCTCCCGCTGCCCAGCCCATGGCGCTCACACTGTGGAAGAGGAGCGAGATGCTCTTGGTGAATGCCAGGGCCGCCATGAGCCAGTGGATCTTGAAGACATTGTACCTGAGAGAGGTGGGGGACACAGGTGGGATGAAGTGCAGAAGTTCAGCCACAGGCAGGGAGAGAAGGTGCCAGGCAGAGGCAAGCAGCAAGCGCATTACGTGTTCCTGCAGAGCACGTTCACCCAGAAGATGCCAGCGGCCAGGAAGCAGGCAGACATGATCAGGTAGAGCTTGAAGAGCGGAATTTCCTCGGCAGACAGGAAGCCCTCGGGGTTCTTCTCCCGGATCATCACCTGGGGGAGGGCAGCAGTCGTGTCACCCCGGTCTGTGCAGAGCTGTGAGCTCCAGCCTTGCACTCTCCCACCTTCTAGCTGGTGGCTCACCCTCAAGCCCACTTGTCCCACTTTTCAGATAGGTGTACACTGGGAGACCCTCAACATCTATAGGGGGTCGCTCCGGGGCAGACACCAAAACAGGACATTCTCGTGGCCTTTACGTCAAAAGACAAAGTATTCTCTCAGAACCTGTGCACATCTTCCTGCTGATTTCAAATCACCTCTAGATTAGGTGGACGGCCTGAGGCAGGAAGGCCACAAATTGGACCTAACCTGGGCGATTTAGTGAGATCTAGTCTCCAAGTTAAGAAAAGCAAAAAATTCTGAGGATGTGCAAAGGGTCTAGGTTCCATCCCCAGGATATTAAAAAAGAGACAGAATGACTGACTGCTACAACGTAAAGGCCAAGAAAACTGTTGTAACTTCCTGCTTATAGAATGCAAATAACAAGCCCAGACCTGTTTGATACCAACATAATTTATGTGTGTGAATACTTGGAATCCTGATGATACAGACAGCAGCTGGTCCTGGTTTGCACTGCCCATCAGGGACCCTGGGTGGGCCCCGAGAGGCTAAGCCTGGCCCAGCAGGAGCAAGCACCTGAGCCCGAACCCCTTGGTTCACTCACCGTGAGGTCGAAGGGGTGTTCTTGGTCGGGCTTCAGGTTATGGCAGTTGTGGAAGTTAAGGCTGTACTGGCCCTCCTCAGCCCTGGAGCCAATCACCATGTGGAACTGGGCAGGGGAGACGAGTCTCAGCCTGGGACCAACAGTTCTAGTAGAGGAAGTGGGGCTATGGGTGCTGCACTCACGCTGAAGTTGTAGGAGTCATTGACATGGCCCAGGTCCAACACCAGGTCCTTGTTCTTCTCAAGGGGACCCTAAGGGGACAGAGCCCTTACATCAGCTGGCCCTAGGCTTGGGAGCCCGAACATGCTCGGGGTACACCCTTCTCCTGCCCATCCTAGTTCCCTGAACCTGAGACCCGGCAGGTTTAGCCATGGCTTTAGCAGCTGTGGAGTTTCCTGTGGGAGACAGGAAAGTGATTTTAAGAGGTTGAAGGCTGACAAAAAAAACCCGCGATACACGGGCATGCCTGATGATCCTCCCCTCCTGCACTCTAGACTCACCGCTGTCCATCTCGGGAGTGACCGCGGGCGCCGCCTGTGGGAGGCCAGGTCTAGCAGGCACACTGGAGAGGAGCCCAGGGGAGATGCACAGCTTCTCCTGTGCCCCATATTTCCGCACCTGGACCCTGAGGTAAGGAACAGTTCGAGAAAACAGTGCGCCTGCAGGGAGGGCCCGTTGCGACACCAGGCGGCCTGCATCTGAATCCCGGTTTTGGGGGCTTTGTTTTGGCAGCTGAACAACAGGGATAACCAGAGTACAAAGAAATGAGCTCCCATGCATTAAAGTTTTCAGGACACCATATGGAGCTCAGGAGAGTATGAATGATCATCAGTAACCCACATACCAACCTTCTATATCCGGGTCCTCTGCTGAGAGACCCCCTCCTACATTCGGTGAGTACCCTCCCCTTTTCCTCCTCCCAGCATGCAGAAGGCTTGAAGATGACATTAAAATATGAGTGGCTTTCTCTCAGGGGGTGCTTTTCAGCTGGCTTTTCCTGCCTAACAGATAGCCCAGGGACAGGTAGGTATGCATCACATCCCAGAAGATGGACATAGATTAGTTTTGTTTTTTGCTAGTGCAGCTGACTGAGGGGAAAGCCTTGCACTGAGTTACATCCTAGTCCTTTTTTAAAAATCTTTTATTTTAAGCCAAGGTCTTGCTAAGTCACTGGGCTTGAACTTGGAAACCTCCTGCCTCTGCCTCTCGGCGTGCTGGGGTGACTGATGCGCACCACCGTGTCCTTAGCCAGCTCCCAACCCCAACTCACTGCAGATCCTTGGTGTTGATGAGGAACAAGACCAGGAAGTTGCTAGTGTTTCTTCGGAGTGGGCATTCGTGGGACTCCTGGGCCTGGGAGTGGATAGTGGGAAAATGGGTTGTGGCAGTCCCAGCCCGCCCAGACAACCCCACCCCCAAGGCGCTCCCTTACTCCCCCACTCACTGAGTAGGATCGGACGCTGCCAGATCGCACACGGCTGAGACTGAACCCCACCTGGTGGGCAGGAAGAAGGGAGGGCATAAGGGACCGCAGAAAGGGCCACTAGGCTGCCCCTCTCGTGGCAACAAAAATCTGGCCTTGCATGTATTGAGCAGCTACCACATGCCCCTCACACCTTCTTTGAATTTTTCAACAGCCAGCCTCCCTGCCCTCCTCTTCCTTTATCTTCAGCCACCCAACCAGACTCAAGGTGGACCCCACTTCCACACAGAGGGAGACCTTTGTTAGCTCACCCTCCTTTCCCCAACTTAAAATCTGATGTCTTTCTGCTTTGGGCTCCAGAATTCAACACACCAAACCTGAACCCAGGCCCTGCCATTTCCAGCCTGTAGAATCCTCAGAAAGCCATTCCCTGCCTGGGGCCACGCCTGGAAAACTGCATTTGGCGAAGAATTTCCACAGGCTCCCCAAGAGGCCGCAGTGGGAGAATGGAACCAGGGAGTCTGCTAGGCACATTGCCTGGTCTGCGGCAATCAGTAAATACTGGTTGTTCACTTTGGCTTCGGGAACTGGGGCTGTCTTGTTTATCGGTAGCCTTCCCGCAAATATTAAGAACAGCATTGTTCACTTGAGACATTTTATTCCTGAATTATGGAGGAGGAAACCGAGGCTCAGTGAAGCTGAGACTTGCCCTAGGCTGGGAACCTAGAACAGGGGCGGATGCAGGCTGTGAAACTCAGGAGTCCAGCCCCAGCCTTCCTGAGACCCTCACCAACGGCGACTTCTCTTCTGTCAACTGGGGGTTCAGACGTAAGACGCTCAACTCCACTTCCAGGGAACCGTTGGTGTAGAAGCCAAAGCTGTTGAGCTGGATGTCTGCTCGCCTCTCCCCCTGCCGGAGACAGAGGAGAAGCAGCTCAGATGGTTTACACCAGCCCAGCCCCAGGGCTCTGAACGAGGTCCCCCCAGCAGTCTCCTGGGGTCCCTTTGATTAGGGCACACGGTGACCAGAAAGGGTGACAAGGCCTCTTGGAGGCTCTGTCGCCAGAACAGTGCCAGGCAGGGACAGGGGTAGCCCTGCAGCTTCCCATCATGGTTTTGAGTTCAGCAAGCGAAACTTTGGGACAACCAGAAGCCTCTGACTCGGTGAATACCACCCTGAGAGCAGTAACGCCTCTCGATGGCCAGTCCTTCCACGCCCGGAAAACTTTCAGATTCCACTGTGCCCCCAAGGTCCCAAGATTTCCACTTGGACCTCCAAGATCAGGGAATGTTCAGCAGATTTCCCTCTTGAGAAACCTCCAGAGTCCCTCTTGAATGGCGCCAAGGACGCGTGGCATTCCCAAAGAGATCCCAAGAGTTTGAAAGGCCGAAAGGCCTAAGGGTCAGGAGTACCGGGTCCCCAGAGATGGAGCCCCGCCCCCGACGGTACTGCGTGACTCCAGTGCGAACCGCCAGACGCCTCGAACGAGGGGACAGAAGGGGATGCTGGGGCAGACCATTCCTGGTCTGGACGCGGGGGGCGTCAGACCGCTCCATGACGCGGAAGGAGCGGGGGGTGGGAGATGGGCCAGACCACTCCTCGCCGGGGGCTTCTCCCGGACAAAGTTACGCCCCCTGCCCCGGACCACCGCCCGCAAACCTCACCGTCAGCGCCAGCCGGTGAATACGCCCCGAACAGCTGCCCACGAACAGCAGTAGAAGCAACCGCTGCCCCCACTCTGCGGGGCTCCAGCAGCCAAGCCCCCTCCTCTCGCTCTCTGCCATTTCTAGAGCGGCCGCCTCCCTTGACACCGCCTCTGACGCTACTAAGCCCGCCTACTTGTGAGCCAATCGCCACACGGAAAGCCCAGCTCTACGGCGGGTCCACCCAGATAAGCCAATCACCGAACAGATCTTCGCAAACCTTCCCTTTATAACACTAGATAGACAGAAATAGTTCCGAATGGAAGTACAGAGACTGCTTAGTCCCACTTCCATTCACACCAATCACTAGAAATATTGTCCCGGATGTAATTTGATAAACAGTCCAGCTAACCAATGATCATGAATCTGATATCGTCCTGAAAAATTTCCTCTCCCGGCTCTTAACAGACCAAAACTACATTACCCAGAATTCAGCGGGAGCAGACATGCTCAACGAGGCATAAAATGAACTACATTTCCCAGTATCCCTAAAAAAGGACTTCCTCTTCTTACCCAGGAGACGCGGCTTTCAGCCAGACCTCTGGCTTTTTTGGTAAACACACGCATCTGTCTAGGCTTGTCCCTTTCTGCTAATTTTCCTAGTCCACAGAGAGGCCTAACCCTGGCTCCAGGTTAAATCTTGACCCCAGGGTGACTTATGACCCCAAATTGAGTCACAACCTTAACTAAAGCCACTGTCCTTAAGTGAGGCAGCTGGAGGCTTCCCCAAACCCCAAATTTAAACCCTTTCTTCTGCTCAGTCCCTGCATAAACCTGAAAACCAGACACCCTCGTACATACTGAGCCCTCGTTTCTGGCTGAGACCTCACTCTGGATTAGGCCTGACCACTGATTCCTCACTGGTTTGCTGGCCCTTCTCCTAAGCCTCTGGCCGCATCCTTAAGTGTGATGCTAACCTGGGCTGAACCCCAAATGCAGTTTAAGTCTCTGACCAGAACTGAGCCCCGAATTTTGCTGGCCTGGACCCCAATTCAAATGGAGCTACTGAACCCCACTTTGTAACCAGAGGCTTTCCAACCTAGATGCCGCCAGCAGGTGGGGCAGTTCTCTTGTGGGCGCCCAGGCTTCGGTCTGCGGAGGGGATCTAGGGACTCAGACTCAATCGCACCCCCAGCAGGGCGCCTTGGCCTTTGTAACCGCCAAAGGCAGGGGAGCCACAGACCTATTTCCTCTTTTGTCAGAGCCTAAAGGCAAGGGGATTTACGAGGTGCGAACAGATTTTTATAGGAGAGGACAGACTTCTAAACCCATAGCTCCCCAAAATCAAGGGAGGGGCTGCCGGGATCCCAAAGCTAGTGCTGATCTTTACATTTGATTGTTCCTTAATGAGCAAAACTTGAAAGTGTCGGCATAAACATGAACTGAACAGGGAAGGACCTGGGACTGGCGCCCCAAGGGCAGTTCGCTCTCTGTTTCCCAATGGAGACTCTGGGGAAGGAAAGGCAGGATGCGGTAGGGGCGCTAATGGACCCAGCCTTGGAGGAGACACGTCCTCAGCTGGATCGAAGTTTCCCATCCGCCCTGTGGCCGGAGAGACTAGACCATTAGTGGGACGTACGTAGACGCCTGGAGCCGGGTCGGCCCACATGAGCCAGGTGACCTCAGGTTCTCTCTGCACGGAGTGGGGGGGAAGGACTTGGCTTTGGGGCTTTACTGTCTTGGCCCTTTAAGGAATGGTTGTAGGAGGAAAGGAGAAAGGAAGAACGGTCCAGAGAGGAGGAGGAGGAGAGCATCAGAGAGTTGGAGATGGGTGGGGATTGTTTAAATGGTCCTTCCAGGGGCAACGGGTAGCAATAGTCCTTTAAGAGAGGCCGGGCATCATCTGAATCCCGCCTCCGTGGAGCCGCGCCCCCGGGACACCAGGCTGAGGGCGTGGTAAAGAGCAGAGAGGCGTGGCCTAGAGTTAAGTGGGCGTGCCCAGGGAGGATTGGGGCGGGGCCGGGCGTGTCGCCCTGGGCCGAGTCTTCCCGCGGAGGGTGGCAGGCGGCTGGGACCGGGCGCGGTGGCGGCAGCAGCGGCGGCCTGAGCGCGGGAGCAGCATGGATTGGGGCACTGAGTTGTGGGTGAGTCCAACCGGCACGGCTGCAACTTCTCGCTGGCGCGGATCTAGACTTCGCTCGCTTTGTCCCCTGTACTTTAGCAGGGACTCCACGTTTTCTTTCCCTGCGTTGACCCCTGGGTCCCTGCCCTCTGTCCTCTTCCTTCTCTTGGAGTTTCCCCGAAAGTCTCAGGACGTCCTGGAGTCTAGAAGAGACCTTACCGGGCGGACAGGGGGAAACTGAGGCACTGCATAGACAGGAAAACGGTCAGAAGTCTTGGGACCAGGCCGGGGCAGCCGGGCGAGGTCACCTATTTTGAGCACCCTGGCCGGGCCAAGGCTTAGCTTACGGCCCCTGGGTCCCTGCCCGCCACTTGCCCGTCCGGCACAGAGGGGGAGGGGACCCTCTGGCCACCCTCGTCCCCACGTGGGACCAACGAGTCCTGACTGCCTTCCAGTCTCCTGGGATTATACCTAGGGGCGCTCCGGGATGGGATCTGCAGGCTCGGCCCCAGCCCCCACCTCTGCCTCCCTGCTGGCTCAGACACAAGGCAGGGCTGCCTTGGTCGCCTCTCACCCAGGAAATCCCAGAACTTTTCCTCTATCCTAGCTCGACCTCTGACCCCCTCCCCTGTGGGGGCGGTGGAATCCCTGGTTTCCTCAGTGCCGCGGATCCACCAGATCGTCTTTGCCACTCCAACTCTAGGAGGTGGAGTGAAGTCTTGGGGGGGGGGGGACTTTGAGTCACCCATGAAAAAGCATGAGAAATCGGGGAACTTGGTGCCTGCCCCCTGGCCATCCCGACACCCCCCCCCCCATCCCTGCGCCTCCGGCCCTGACTCACTCCAGGCCAGCCGGATTTTCCGGAATCCAGGGGGATTAGGGGAGTTGAGGCAGGAGCGCCTCATTCTACAACCTTCTTGGCCGTCCGCAGACCCTAGGCCTGCTGTGTCCGGCTGGGGCCCATCCCGGGAAGGGGAGGGGGTTCCCGCCAGTTTCCTGCCCCCCTCTCTCGCCCGGGCCGGCGCTACGAAACCACGCCTGCTCAGCGCTCCTGGAGAGAGGCTCCCCAGGCCTGCGTCGTTGGGTCGGGGTTCCAAGAAAGGTCGTGACCCGGGCCCTCCGTACCCCCTGCTCCCCATCAGGATCAGTTCGAGGTGCTTGAGCGCCATACGCAGTGGGGGCTGGACCTGTTGGACAGATACGTGAAGTTTGTGAAAGAACGCACGGAGGTTGAACAGGCCTATGCGAAGCAGCTGCGGTGAGACCCCCCGGGTGTACTCAGCCTAGGGTCCGGGTGCAGCTGAAGAGCTGCGGGCTCAGCCTTCTGCCTCTACCTCCCTTCAGGAGCCTCGTGAAAAAATACCTGCCCAAGAGACCTACCAAAGATGACCCCGAATCCAAGTAAGATGGAGGGTGTTGCAAAGACCCCTGCTGGCCACCCCACCTGGCTCCAAGCACCTGGAGCTAAGAACCTGGATGCAAGGACCAGACAACCTGATTTGAACCCTAAATTTATTCCTTCGTGCAAAGTGGTTTTGGCATATGACTTAGTTTCCCTCCTCAGGTGGTAGTGGTGGTGGTTGTTGCTGTTGTTGTTGTTTGGGGGGTGATTTCCAATTAGAAGGTTAAATCCCAGATCTTTGCATTGACTGAGCTGCATACCGCAGCCCATTTTATTGTTATTTTTATTTTCATTTTGAGACATTTCATGTTGAGATTGTTGATTGAATTGCCCAGGCTGGGCTTAAATTTTCCATCCTCCTGATTCGGCCTCCCAGAGTGTCGAGATTCTAAGCGATAGCATACCATCATGCTTGGGTTCTCCACCTCTGTATTTCCCATCTATTAAATGGGGATGCTCCAGTAGGTGTAAAAAGGAGTACTTTGGAAGAAGCGGCTCGCTCCATGCCTCTTTTTCCCTTATCTGTGAGTTGGGGTTGACAGTGTGATACCTAGCACCCAGGACCTGCAGGAGGGAAAGCTGCATTAATGTGTCAAAGCAGTGCCCAGTCCCACAGAACTTGTCAGAACGTTTCGTTTTATTCCAGAATCCAAAAATCTCTAGATATAAAAGTTGCTTTCCTGCTTTTTTTTTTTTTTGGTGGAACCAGGGATTGAACTCAGGCCCTTGCGCTTGCCAGGGAAGCACTTATTCCACTGAGCCATCTCCCCGGCCCTTTTGCTTGTTTTTTTTTTTTTTTGTTCACTTGTTAGATAGCAACCTCCCATCAGGCTGGCTTGATGTTAATTATAGTCTTTTATCTTGGTCAGTATGAATACAGTCGTCCCTTCATATCCAAAGATCAGAAATTTCCTACTAAAAAAACTGTTCCCCTACCCATCCTAGACAAACTTAATTTTCTCTTGTCATTCCTGGAACGGTAGTGTAACAACTATGTACATAGCGTGTAGATTGTATCGAGCAAATCACCTAGAGATGATTTAAAGCCTAGAGGAAGATGTACGCAGGTTCAATGCAAATATTATGTCTTTTTTTTGAAAGGGTTTTGCTAAATTGCCCATTCTGGGCTTAAACTTCTGCCACAGCCTCTGATAGTATTACAGGTGTGTGCCACCACACCCAGCTTACAATATGCCTTTTAAATAAGGAACTTGAGCAATAGAAGATTTTAGTATCCTTAGGGGTTTCTGGATATGATCGTCTGTGTATACCAAAGGGCGACTGAACGAACACCTCTTGCTGTATAGTTTTATTACAGGTTGCTGCTTGTAGCCCCACTGGGCTGAGGCATGCATGGTGGAAGGATTGCATCTCCTTTTTAAAACCCCAAACAATTCTAAGATCTGAAATGCATCCGAACACAAAGGTTGGGGGTAAAGGACAGGGACCAGAACTTAACCTGGCAGGGGACATTAATGCCCTGGGCTCACTTTCCCCACAGGAGCTGGGTTTCGAGCACCACCCCTTGAGGGGAGCCTGACCCCCTCTCAACCCCCTCTGCCCAGGTTCAGCCAACAGCAATCCTTCATCCAGCTTCTACAGGAGGTGAACGATTTTGCTGGCCAGCGGGAGCTGGTGGCTGAGAACCTCAGCGTCCGTGTGTGTCTGGAACTGGCCAAGTACTCCCAGGAGATGAAGCAAGAGAGGAAGATGGTGAGGGGTCCCCACCTGGGCTTCGGGGAGCCCTGCTGGAAAAGCCTCCGGTGAGCTGCATCCCTCCTCTCCCCCCAGCACTTCCAGGAAGGGCGGCGGGCCCAGCAGCAGCTGGAAAATGGCTTCAAACAGCTGGAGAATGTGAGTTAGCAGAGGTGGTGGTGCCTCAGGGAAGGACTAGCTTCCCCACAGAACTGAGCCCTGTCCTAGCTGGTCCCTCTCCCCACAGAGCTTCCTGGGACCCCATGGTGCTCCGTGTGTCCTGGTGGCCTCCCTCCACCAGTCCCCATACACCTTGGTTTCCCAGCTCCCCTATTTAGGGGACAGCAGCTCCCCTCTGGCTCTGTCGCCCCTGCAGAGCAAGCGCAAGTTTGAGCGAGACTGCCGAGAGGCGGAGAAGGCAGCCCAGACTGCCGAGCGGTTGGACCAGGACATCAATGCCACCAAAGCTGACGTGGAGAAGGTATGTGTGGGGGCTCGGGCAGGCTTGAGAAGCCAGAATGGGCGCTGCTGGCGCGTGTGCGTCACCTCCCCCTCGGGATTCCCCAGGCCAAGCAGCAAGCACACCTTCGGAATCACATGGCAGAAGAAAGCAAGAACGAGTACGCAGCCCAGCTACAGCGCTTTAACCGAGACCAGGCCCACTTCTATTTTTCACAGATGCCCCAGATATTTGATGTGAGTACCCTAGATTCCCAGGCCAATCTTCTTACAAAACCCTAAAAGTTAACCAACTCTTATACATACATCAAAATCTACCTGCGGTGTCTCAATACCCAGACTGAGAGAGAAGTAGAAAGCTTTAGCAACAGTGAGCTGGCCGTCTCTGCACTCCGCTGCGCTTGGGGAGAGAAATCCCCCCGCCCCAGCTCCTCCCATCTCCATCCTGCAGAAACTTCAGGACATGGATGAACGCCGGGCCACCCACTTAGGGGCCGGGTATGGGCTTCTGTCGGAGGCCGAGCTGCAGGTGGTCCCCATCATCGCCAAGTGCTTGGAGGGCATGAAGGTGGCTGCAGACGCCGTGGATGCCAAGAACGTGGGTGCCCCATGTGGTTCAGTGGGCTGGGGAGTGGGCTCCCAGCAGACCCCCTGACTGCCCCCCCTCCCGACTGCTCCCTCCCCCAGGACTCCCAGGTCCTCATCGAGCTGCACAAGTCAGGCTTTGCCCGCCCGGGCGATGTGGAATTCGAAGACTTCAGCCAGCCCATGAACCGAGCTCCCTCCGACAGCAGCCTGGGCACCCCATCCGATGGCCGCGCTGAGCTCCGGGGCTCAGGCCGGATCCGTGCCAAGCGCTGGCCCTTTGGCAAAAAGAACAAGGTGGGGACCAGTGCTCTTGGGGTTCTCGGGGAGACAGCAAGTGGAGCTTGTGGAGGCCCCCACCAAGTCAGCCCCAGCCACCAGAACGCCGAGTCCTGGGCAGGAATTTTCCTCTTGGCCGCAGGCCCAGGCTGGAGGGGGAGGAAGGCGGGTGGCTGGCCCATTGGCCTGGGAGTCCCAGGAGGCTGAGGGGGGCTGGGCGGGGCCAGTGGTGTCTGTCTACTGCTTTGGGGATGCAGACAACTGCCAGCTTGAGGACTTGTGCCCTGGCCTGAGGCCTTTATCCTGGGGAGGACCTCCAGGCCATCAGCCTTTGCCTTCCTTAGTCTGGGAGTTTGGGCTTTTGATGTGAGGGACACATGTCTACACCTGTGGTTCCCCTGCGCCCTTCTGGGTCAGCCTTAGGGACCCCTAGGCTTAGTGTCTGATGCCCTCCCACGTATACCTGCCGCAGCCCAGCCTGCGCCCCACCCCCCACCCCTGCCGTGACCCTCACTCCTGGCCTTCGGCCCCACTCTCCTCTCTCTTTTCGGCCTCTGTCTCTGAGCCCTTGGCTCTGTGTGAGCCTCCCGCCTCCTAGACTGTGAGTCTGGAAATCCTAACGACAGAGACCTGGTCCTCCTTCTTGTCCCTGGACCTAAGATTCAAGGGGCCAGAGAGGGATGCGGGTGGGACCTGGTGGCCCCTCCTGGCTCACAGTCTAATCCATGTCCTCCCCACCATCTCCCCAGTTTTGTGTTGCTCTTGCATGTGTTTTCTATGTGTGATCGTACATCTTGAGTTGTGATTTTCTTACCGTTTTTTTCTTTCTTTCTCCATTTTGTTTTTCCTTTATCTGCGTCCGTCCATCCTCACGTCCGTTCATCCATCCATCCATCCATCCATCATCCTCGTTCTCTACACCTTCCCATCTCCATCCCTGACCCACCTACCCCCACCCGGCCCCCGCTGGTAGCCGCGCCCCCCATCCCTCTCCCCCTTGGGGGGTCCCCTGCCCTCGGTATTGCCTAATGGACCCCCATCCCCCCGCTCCGGCCGTGACCCCTTGGCCATACTGAGTGAGATCAGTAAGTCGGTCAAACCGCGGCTAGCGTCCTTCCGCAGCTTCCGAGCCGGCCGTGGGGTAAGTGGGGCCTGGGCAGCAGGAGGAGGTGGTGGTCACAGACGCCCCGTGGCTGGGTGGTGGGACCCTGGGCTCGCTTTCTGCGGCCAGCTGGGCCCCCATCCTGCTTTGCTTCATGCATGGCCTCACTCCAAGAACTCTGCCAGGGAGAAAGAGGGATTTGGTATCTCCCAGGAGCGTGCGGTGCCAGGACCCCAATTCCGGCTCTTCCACCTCACAGGCGGTGGTGACGGAGGATTTTAGCCATCTGCCCCCCGAGCAGCAGAGAAAGCGGCTTCAACAGCAGTTGGAAGAGCGGAATCGGGAGCTCCAGAAGGAGGTGGATCAGAGGTAAGCAGCAGAGGAACGAGTGGGCGAAGAGGCGGGCAGGCAAGGGCAAAATCAAGTCATAATGAACAGCGGGGGTGCAGCTCTCGCCTGGCCCGGGGCTCCAGCTCCAGCACTGCAGAGGTAGAGAATGAAGCCGAGAGCTCAGTCGTGCTGAAGTTGCTCTCAGAGACCCCCCCCCCCAGCCCCGCGCAACAGACCCAGGCCCCCATGGTTTTGTGGGTGCGTCATGCCACACTCAGAGGAAACTGCTGCTTTCTGTCTCAGACAAGTCCTTCCAGCAAAGGATAAGAAGCAGAAGCTACCGGCGTTTTGGGACCCTGGTGGCGTCTCAAACCTTAAATCGGTAAACAAGAAGTTCCAGGAAATAAAATTATGGACTCATTTTACCTCGTGTATGATACAGAATCCTAGCCAAGCAGATCTAATGATGTATTTACAAAATAATTCATCATGGCTGGCCATGCTTGGGTGAAAGTATTTATGCCGTGGACTTACACACTTAAAAATGGCCCCAGGGATCAATTTTATAAATTTTATTTTACTACAACAAAAAAGTTTTAAACTAGGTGTAGTGGCGCATGCCTGTTTTCCCAGCACTCTGCAAGGCTGAGGCAGAGGATCGTAAGTCAGGGCCCAGCCTGGGCAACCTAGTGACTTGGTGAGACCCTCTCTCAAAATAAAAAAATGATTGGGACAGTCACTCTGGAAAAAGTTGCTCTGGGTTGCGTCCCCGGGATAGGCTCAAAACAAATGAACAGACAAACCCATAACAACAGAAAAAAAAACCAAATATAAAAAAAAAATCATGAAACAAATTTGGTGATCTTTTGGGTATTAAGCCCAATAATGCAAAGATAGTTCAAAAAAAAAAATATATATATATATATATACAAACCCTATTACTCTTAATTTACCACTTAGGTCAAAGGAAAAAAGCTGTACAGTTATGTTTAGTAGCTGAAATACTCAAAATATATTAACAATAAAAAAATCTGCCAGATTTTAAAAAAAAGAAGAAAAAAAATCTACTCACTCTTTCCAAGCAAGAAAATGCGCTTCCAGTCCAGTTACATAATAGGGCTGACGTGTGCCACTTGCCAGCGGGTGGCCAGATTCTATTTTGCTGTTTGCTTGGAACCAAATGGCTTTTAGGGGTGCGAAGTTCCACCCAGAACTGTCTGCTTCCAGGGCTCTTAGGGTGGAGGTTTGTGCTGGAGATAGCTGAGGTAGGGCTCAGATTCTAGCTGTCATGGAGTATTGGGCGGCTTGCCTTTACCTTTTTATAAAAAGCCTCAGTTTCTTTATCTGTATCATGGGTCAAGTGCATAGCTGGAAGAAAGTGGAGCTGAAGTCTAGCATATTCCATAGTTTTTTTGTTTGTTTTCTTTTTGTGGTGCTGGCGATTGAACTCAGGACCCTGCGCTTGCCAGGCAGGTGCTATCTCCCCAGCCCTCCATAGTTGGTTTTTCTTTCTTTTTTTTTTTTTCAGTGCTGGGAGTGAATCCAGGGCCTTGTATGTACTAAGCAGGAGCTCTGCTGCTGAGCTACCCCAGCCCTTTGCAAGTTTTATTTTGAGACAGTTTCGCTGAGTTGCCCAGGTTGGCCTCCCACTTGTGCTCCTCCTGCCTTATCGCCTGAGTAACTCATGAAGCTGGCAAGAAGTCTATTCTTACAGTTTTTACATAGACACAGAGGAGAAGAGAACAGTAATCACACATGGCATTTATTGACCACTTACTGTATTCCAGGCACTATTTCAAACTGTTCACATAGATTTGCTAGAATTCCCAACTTTTCCTAAGAGATGGTAAGCAGAGTTAGGAGTCCTGCTGTCTTTAGCACTTTTTTTTCCCCTTTTTAGTTGTATTTCTGACGCTTAGAATAGTGCCTATTATACGCTAGGTACTCAATATGTGTTTGAAGTAGTGAGTTCAGGCCTTAGACTGAGTGCCGTGGCACACAACCTGTAATCCCACCTGCTCAGGAAGCTGAGACAGGAGGATCACAAATTCAAGGCCAGCCTGGGCAAGTTAGACCCTGTTATAAAATACAAAAAGGGCTCAGGTGCAGCTCAGTGGCAGAAATCCCCTGGGTTCAATCCCTATTCTGGGGTGGGGTAAGGAAGGTGGGACTTAATATATACCACGTACTCTTCTAACTTTGTCACGAAGCAAATATATGTCCCATCATCCCCAATTTCAAGATAGGCATTCAGGTGCAAGGATTGGATAACCTAAGCTCACAGCACTAAGAAATGCTCAACTATCATCAAACCTAGCCAGTTAAGCCCTAATGTTGGGGTTATTTCTTTTCCTATCTTTAAGAAAGGAGGTGGGGGCATTCATTATGTTACCCAGCCTGGCTTTGAGCTCCTGGGCTCAAACAATCTTCCCCTAGTCCCTTGAGTGGCTGGGACCACTTTTTGGGGAAGGAGATCAGTTTTATGAGACAGAGTCTTACTATATAGTTCTAGTTGACCTTGAGCTCATTGTGTAACCCAGGCTGGCCTTGAACTTGAGATCCTCCTGCCTCAGCCTCCCAAATGCTGGCGTTACAGGTGTGCACCACCATACCCAGCCTGGCTCCCAAATTTAAGGTTTTTTTTTTTTTTTTTCTTATAGTACTGGGTATGGAACCCAGGACCTTTGCACCAAGTTACAGCCCCAGCCCTTTAAAAATGTTTTAAATTATAAAATAGGCTCTCAAAGCAAAAATAAATAAATTTAGAAAATAGACTCTGAGTTGCCCAGGCTGGACTCATATTTCTGGTTCTCCTGCCTCAGCCTCCCAGAGGGCAAGGACTAGAAGCTGCAGCGACCGCCCAGATCCCATGCTTGACTTCTTCACCAGTGTCTTGCCTTTTTCTCAGATCCAAAGCCTCTGTCGCTTGCAAAACCACATGGGCCTGAACTTTTTTTTTTTTTTTTTTTTTTTTTTTTTGAGGAACCAGGGATTGAACTCAGGCCCTTGCACTTGCCAGGCAAGCGCTTATCCTACTGAGCTATCTCCCCAGCCCCTGGCTTGAGCTTTCTTATCCGTCTCTGCCTTATCCCAGGGAAGCCTTAAAGAAGATGAAGGATGTGTATGAGAAGACACCCCAGATGGGGGACCCAGCCAGCTTGGAGCCCCAAATCACAGAAACCCTGCGCAATATTGAACGGCTAAAGTTGGAAGTACAGAAGTATGAGGTAAGTGGCGGGCCCCGGGCAGAGGCCGCTGGCTGAGTCACTCCCGGGTGGTGGACCTGACAGGGAGGGTGGGGGAGGGCCCCAGCTGTTTCTCATCAGGGCCTTGGGTGTGCATGGGTGATCTCAGGAAATCTCCAGGTCCAGAGCCACTGACCTCGGGGAGGTGGCGGTGGGGGCAGGGGTGGGGGCTGGCCTGGAACTGATGTCGTGATCCTGTCCCCAGGCTTGGCTGGCTGAAGCTGAGAGTCGAGTCTTGAGCAACAGAGGGGACAGCCTAAACAGGCAAACCCGGCCTCCCGACCCCCCAGCCAGCGCTCCACCAGCCAGCAGTAGCAGCAGCAGCAGTAGCAATAGCGGGTCACAGGAGAACAAGGAGAGGTGAGTGGGAGGCCAGGGCAGGGTGGCCTTGAAGCCCCAGGAGGCTGGTCTCAACCTGCAGTCTTCTCCCAAGCAGTTCGGAAGAGCCCCCCTCAGAAGAGGCCCAGGACACCTCCATCTACACAGAATTTGATGAAGAGTTTGAGGAGCCCACGTCCCCCATAGGCCAGTGTGTGGCCATCTACCACTTTGAAGGTGAGGACAACCAGGGAGGGCTGCAAGGGGCGCATCAGTTGCTTGGGGGGTGTCTTTGGCCAGGCTCTGTTGAAACCTACCGAAAGCAAAGCCCTGGGCTTTGTCCTCCACCACAGGGTCCAGCGAGGGCACCATCTCCATGGCTGAGGGCGAAGACCTCAGTCTGATGGAGGAAGACAAAGGCGACGGCTGGACCCGGGTTCGGCGGAAACAGGGAGGGGAGGGCTACGTGCCCACCTCCTACCTCCGAGTCACACTCCACTGAGCCTTGCCCAGGCAGAAGTAGGGGGCTGTCGGCTGCTGCTTCTGGGCCACGGGGGGCTCCAGGACTCATGCACTTTATTTCCGCCCCCCTTGGCTTCAGCTGAGACCTGTGTAACCTTGTGTCCCCCCCATCCTACCTGCTACCCCCAGTGGACCCGCTGTGCCTCCAACGATCGATGTACATACTCAGGTTTCAAATCTTTTCCTGCCGCTTGGCTTGGACCGTTTTGTTTTATATATATATTAAAAAAAATTATATAAAGTTCCTGAACTTCTGTGCCTTCTCAGGAGTTTTAGATACAGTAGTGGGGCGAGATCCTCCAACATTATCCTCAGGAATGAGGAAGGGGAAGTGGCCTTGGGTACACCTTAGGCAAGCCCTACCCTTTGGAGGAGTTGGCTTTGGCTTCAAGGGTGCTTGTTGGCAACTGACAGAGGAAGAAAACCTAACTTCATTCTTACTAAGAACAGATAGGACTTATTGACCACCTACTGTGTGCCAAGTATTCTCCACCCATGATGTGTTTTCCTTCCTGACAGTCCCTAGAAAAGTGTGACTTTTATGTTGAAGACAGGCACAGAGAGGCCAAGGCATCTGCTAGAAATCACACAGCTTTTAAGAGACAGAGACAAATTTGAACACTGAATGTCCTAGCTGTGTGCACGCATGAGTGCAAACAGTGAGGTGGTTCCCATAATACCTGAATTAGTCTTTTAGTGGGAGGGAGAAGGATGCTGCAGCCCCCTTTCTGGAATCTCCATTTTTAGGGGCAGAATTTTTTTTTTTCCTAGTACTGGGGATGGAACACGGGCCCTTAGTTCTGAGCTACATTCGCAGGCCTTTTATTTTTTATTTTGAGGCAGGGTCTTTCAACTCTTTTTTTTTTTTTTTGCACGTCAGACTTGTAGTGATCCTCCTGTCTCAGCCACCCCAGCACTGAGATTATAGGTGTGAACCACCATGCCCAATTTCGGTGGCTGGCACTATGTGCCCAGGGTTCTGGGGCCAGCACAGCATGCAGTACTGGGGATTGAACCTAGATCCTTGCACTTTCCAGGCAGGTGCTTAGAATGCCAAGCCCAGCCCCAGTTTATGATCTTCCTGCCTCAGTCTCCTAGTGTGCTGGTCTGAGTTGACCCCTGGCAGCCTGGGACACCTGGGTCTAAAGTGCTCTTCTTAGTGGCTAGACTCTAGGCGCTGTGACAGGATGTTGAGGACACGCTGGAACTTCTCAAGGCGCTCAGCTCTCGGTGCCCCTGCTCCTTGGCTTCCCCAGAGAAGCCTCTGCAGAAAGCTGGTGGTCAGCGCCTCCCTCAGCTCCGGATTAGGCCTGAATCCTGGAGACAGGGTCAGTGCAATGGGGCACAGCCTAGGCTGCTCCTTATCAGGTTAAGGAGACTTTCCTGGGGACTTTGACCCAGGAGAGGCCAAAGGGGTACTCTACTGCTGGATGCTGGGGTGGGGCAGGAGGAGGCAGGGATGATAAGGGCTTCAGGTGGTAGCCTCGGCAGGGACAGGAGGGAGTGGCCTGTTCCAGGTGGGATGCTGGGAGCCCCACCTCAGCAGCCGTGTCAGGAGGCAGCTTGTGAGGTCAGGCGGCCCGGGGAGACAGCTTGGGTTGGGAGGGGCCCCTTTAGAGGTGGAAAGTGCAAAGGTCACCCGGAAGGCGGGGATGATCCCAGGAAGAAAAGAAGGCAAGACGGGGTTGCCCCTGGATTGGAGGGCCTCGGCTCTGAGTGCAAGGTTCAGCACCCTTCCAGTTGAAGGAGTCATGTGGGGGTAGGGGGAAGATGGGCATTTTGGGATGTTGGGGTTATCCAGGTGGAACGGTGGAAGTGGGGTCCCGTGGGTGCGGCTCTGAGCCTCAGCGCACCCCCCCATGAAAGTTTCCCTCCACACTCACTGGGGTCAGAGCTTGGCGGGAGGCTGCGGGGGTGGGAGGAAGGCACGACTACCCTTCCTGGGGATGGGGCTACTCCATCTGGGTGGGACTTTTGCCCAGGCGCCCGTCCCGGGGGCTGCAGGCCGGACCCTCACCTCGCAGGCGCCGAGCAGCAACCCGGCGGAACTTCGGGGCGTCGCGCGCCATGCATCGCGCCCCCTGCAGGGTGCGGAGCAGCCGCTCGCAGCTGTCCTCCAGCGGCCCCTCCGGACTTTCGCCCTCCAGCAGGCGCACCGCGGGGGCCACGTGCGGCAGCGCCACCTCGCCGGGCTCGCAGGGACCTGAGCAGGGAGGGCTAGACCGCGTCGGGCTGGGAAGGAAGGGTGGGGCCCGCGCGGAACGGGCGGAAGGCGGGGTCAAGGGCGGGGCGGGGCCCGGCGGCGGGGAGGGCGGAGTCTAGGGCCGAAACTGGACGCAGCCGCCGGCTGAGGGACTGCAGAGAGCTGAGGCCCGGAGCAGCGCTTGGGCGCAGAACCAGGGGCGCTGCGCGGAGCGCGACGGCTGGGCTTCGGCTGGGCAGAAGTGGGCGGTAGGCGGGGGCCTAAGGCTGGATGCGCGGGGCCTGGGAGGGAGTGGCTAGGACTGGAGTAAGATCCTAGTTGCCGTTCTGGGGCACAAACCCCAGACCTCTGCTTACCTGAACCTTCATCCAAAGCCCGCATCAGTGGCTTCAACTCCTGCTCGAAGGCCAGCGCAGCCTCTGTGTGGCTCCGTCGGAGCTGGCGCCAAGTGCACTCCAACCGCGACACCTGGGAACAGATGCGAGGCTGCCTCCTCTTTCCCTTGCATCCCTGCCCCTCCCCCACCCCGTATCCCCACGCACCTGGGGCAGGAGCAGGGCTCCCATGACTGCGGCCAACCCGGCCAGGTCCCCTACCGCCCCGGGCCGCAGCGCCAGCGCCAGCTCCACGAGGCCCCTCAGTGCGGCTGTTCGCTCCTCCAGCGGCCCCGTGCACCCCAAGACAGCCAACGCCCCAGCCAGCGCCAGGGTCTCCAGCCTGCAGAGGTGGAGGGCAAGGGTCTGGGGACAGTAGGGAGGAGGGTAATTCGAGGGTGACGGGCACTGGAGGCACTGCCTGACCCCTTCCTTCCCTGCCGAAATGGCCAGAAACGGAGATGATTGGAACCTCGGGGATGTGTGGGACGCGCCCCCAGCACCCAACCTGGGTTCCAGGCTATTTGCTCACCTCTCCAGCAGTTCCAACCTCAAACGATGCCCATGGGGAAGGGTGATCAGCTCGAGGCCAGAGCAGACCCCCATGGCCACTCGCTGAGCCTTGGTCACTCCCAGGAGGCCTGCAGCCTGTGGGAGGCAACAAGGAGGTCAGGGGACCAGAGTTCGTCCCCTGGGCAGGAGATCCAGGGTGGGAGACCAACCTGGCAATCTACCAACAGCAGGTGGAGGGCGGTGCTCCCAGCATGGTGCTCCAAGAACAAGCCTCGGAGGGTACGCAGAACGCTGGGGTCCAGGGGCCGATTCTGGGGGCCCAGCAGGCAGGAGGGCTTGTCAGGCGGGCAAAAAGAAACCTCGCCCTGTGGTTTTGCAAAACTCCAGCCCTCCTCCTCCTCTGCGTCCTCTTCAGCCTCCCACCACGGGGCCTCCGGCTGTGAACAACTTTGGCCAGGGTATGTTCCCTGGGCGCTGGGCACACGGGGAATCAGCTCACAGTACGTTGTAGGAAGTCTAGAGGCGTCAGGAAGTGTCAGGGAGGGTGTCCTGGGCGGCTTGGTTGGTGCCCTGGCATGAAGCTGCCCATCGGAGGCTCTGAGGCTGTCAGCAGTGGTCCCCAAGGTAGCTGGGATCTTCAGCAAAACCGGATCGCTGCTCATCCGGAGCAGGGCAGATAGGGGTCTAGTGGAGGTTCCTGGGGGCCCGCAGAATAGACAGCTGGATTGGATGAGGGTACGTGGGAGGTCGGCTAGCTGCTCCCATCCTCCCTATCAACCCATCATCAGCTGCTAACGGGTCAATCGCCCCTCAGCTTTGGCCCTCAGCAGCTTCAGTGTAACGCGAGCTGCATCCTCATGTGTCCAAGCAGCTACCCACTTACCAGCTTGAAAACTAATTTCAACACTGCTGTAGTTTTGTGGATCATTAAAATTAATATCTGTAGTACATAATGGCTACATTTATTGTGTGGAATCGGTACATACACATAGCGAATTTTGATCCTTCTAACTCCCTCCTCCTCTCCCCATCCCTTAAGTCCTCATGCCGTCTGTACAATGTTTCAGTTTCTTGTTTCTTATTGTCTGCCTTTTATCTTGTTCTTCATTTATATTTTATGGTTCTAGTATAAAATAAGCCATGCTGTATTTTCCCATCTGGATCTAACTTATTTCATGTAGCATTATGGTCTCTAGGCGAGTACACCAACAGTGAGCCCGCTGAGAAAACCAGTAGCCTCAAAATACTTAGGAAGTAACCTAAGCAAGGAAATGAAATACCTCTATGATAAAAACTACACTGCTTCAAAAAAAGGTAGGAAACATCAGAAAAATGGAAAGATGAGCCCTGTTCCCAGACAATATCAAAATGGCCATACTTCCAAAAACAGATGTATACATTTAATGCAACCCCAATAGAAGTACCACCAGCATTCTTTACTATTACGGTTTGTGTCTAGGTGTAACCCCAAAGCCTCATGCAGTCACAGGGCTCGGTCGGGGCGGCTGAATTGAGAGTGTGTGCTGCTGGGTTTTAGGGCGTGTTCTTAGCACATCAGTCTGTTAATCAGTTTGGCATAGTTCTGGCTGGGATTAAGGGTGTGAGTGCTGCCTGCCCGAGGGCGGGCAGTCTGCATACTGTGAGCAACAGGCTGGGTTCCTTCCTTGTTGCTTTTGCTGTAAGCACCATGAGCTCCTCTCTGCCAAGTTGCTCCACTTTGGAACCAGCTCATTATGGACTGCAACAGCTACAAACTGTGAACCAGATAAGCCTATCCTCCTTTAACTTTGGGGGTAGGGTATTTTGTCCCCGCAACAAGAAAAGTAACTAAGATACTCACCAAACTAGGAAAAAAAAAAATTCTAAAATTTGTATGAAAGCAGAAAAGCCCCCAGAATAACCAATCCTGAGTGACTAGTTTTGATGAATTCTGAATGCTGCATTTTATTTCATTTTATTATTTTTTGGATACTGGGGATTGAACTCAGGACCTTGTGCTTGCCGGGCAGGCACTTATGCCAGTGAGTTATATTCCCCAGCCAAGAATACTGTGTTTTAAAATGGAACCCTTTGTTTTTGCCTTTGTGAAGACGGGGCACGTGGACTGAACAAGATTAAATTATTTATTTATTTTTATTTATTTATTATTACTTTTTTGGTGTGGTAGCGGGGATCAAACTCAGGACCTTGTGCTTGTCAGGCAGGCACTTAGGCTGCTGAGCTATCTCTCTGGCTCAAGATTAAAATGTTTTAAATCTTACTGAGCGGGTGTGGGGCCATGGCACCCACTGAGGTACCTTTGTCAGAGCCCTGAGTCTCGCTGGACATCTGAGGTGAGGATGCTCTTTTTCTTGCTGATATGGAGACCATGTATAATGTTCTGTGTTTTCAGGCTACTGTGTTAGCTCTACAGTCTCCATAGTGGGTGTCGATGGCCGACCTACATGGCCCCTTCAGACAGGGCCCATTCCCTGCTGACTCTAGACACTTATTCACTCACAATTTCCTTGTGATCCCAACCTTCCCTACACCTCTTCCCTACACCTCCTCCAAAAGCTCCACTTCTCTTTCACCTCTGTCTCCCCACAGTGTTCGTCCTACAAACCTAACTTCAGTCCCTACTCATGGTACAATAATCCCATTCTTCCTGTACTTCAATCCAATGGCTCCTATAATTTAATGCACATTTCTGGGATTATCAATAAAGTGGTTACCTATTCTGAGACATGTTGATAGATAACAGCTCAACAGATACTCAAAAAAAGGCAAGATATGCTACAGTCAGTAGATATAGAAGAATAGAGGTAGGGGCCAGGAAGATGGCTCAGTGGAATAAGCGCTTGCCTGGCAAGCACAGGGGCCTGAGTTCAATCCCTGGTTCTGAAAAAAAAAAAAAAAAAAGAATAGAGGCTTTTAAAGGCCACCCCAACAGACTTATCCTGGAGCTGCTCCTGCCTTGGTCTCAGCTCCTTCCCCTGGTTCTAACTAGCTCAGGGAACTGATGTTCCTAGGTCCCTAGAGCACAAACATTAGGAGCTAGAAAGTCGACTCCTCCCCCTCGCCATGGTCAGGGTGGAATGACACATTCAGATCACAGGCCCCCTTCCTGCTTCCCCTCCTGGGTCCTTTAATCATGATAAGACATGTCTACTCATAGCACCTTGACATTTTAAACTTTTTTCAAGGTCTCTTCATTCTCAGATGCAAGCTTTCACTAATGATGAACTTCTGACCCAGAGACATCTGCACTAGCTTCTACATGGGCGGGAACATCATCCTGTCAATCATCTCCTCACCCCCCAAAAAATGACACTTCTGTTCAGCAGGAAGCAGTCTAAGAGTCACGCGGCCCCTTCATAACAACTAAAAGATGGGAATGGGCTGGTGAGATGGCTCAGTGGTCTAAAGCACCTACTTAGAACAAGCTTAGCAAAGCACAGGGACCGCGGTTCAATCCCCCAGCACCACATGCCAGCCAGCCTCGCCCCCTGGTGGGCTGAGCTGGCCACACACACACACACACACACACACACACACACATAAAAATAAATAAATAAATAAGATGGGAATGATTGGCTCTGGCCCTAGTATGAGTTGCTGAATTATTGCGGTGGTCATCTAACATGGCTGAACCCAAAAGCAACAGCTGGTCTTCCCAGAAACCACCTCCCCCTTCTTCCCCAACCCAGTCCTGGGAACAACTTCCTCTCATCTTTCCTGCCCACACAGGGAGACCCCACTCAGCTTCTGAGGTGTCACTAAACCTGCCCCTCAAACTCCACCCCTAGCAGAAGTCTATAAAAGTGTCAGCTTTCCTTGTCTCAGGTCGGAGGACCCCCTCTATCTTCCCTGGGGATTCTCTCCCACTCCCTCTTGTTTAGAATCAATAAAGGCCTTTTTTAATTTTTCCCATATCTTTACTGGGCCACTGAAAACCCTAAGAAATACTACAGAGGTGTCAAAGAATCTGAACTCATTAACCTTTCAAATGATGCCTTTTGTGAATAAGAGGTGTATGTATGTCCCCAAGGCCCTTAGTATTTAAAAGGGTAACAAGACTTGTGGGAGTGGTGGCGCAGGCCTGTAATCCCAAAATTTAGGGAAGTGAAGCAGAAGGATCGCAATTTTGAGTCCTGTGGACAATTTAGTGAGAACCTATCTCAAAATAAAAAGGGCTGGGGTTGTAGCTCAGGGGTAGATACCCCTGAGCTCCATCTCCCGTAGCATCAAAAGATAAATTTTTGTAAATACATATCAGAACTTTTGAGAGACTGTTTACCAAACATTTCAATAGGCTTTGGTCTAGGGGTTTCAAGCCTCCCCAGGTTCCCAGCTCACTCCAAGTAAGGGTAGAAGTCCTCTCAGCAGCCACTACCCTTACTCTTGTCTTCTTTTAATTTTTACCCCAAAGTACATCCAATTGCCTCACTTTCATGGTTCACAGTCTGTTGTTCCCTAAATAGAATGTTGGCTACCCTTGGTAAGGGATCTTGGTCTTTCTGGCCCATTGATAGATCCTACATTTTATTCATTTTTACAGGAGTGCACCACCACGTCCAGCCATACCCTAGCTTTTAAAACAGTGGCTACCTCCTAAAGACAATTTGAGCTGAATATATGCAAGGGGCAGTGCAAATGGGAGATGAGGAAACTTGGGGGTGACCCTTCTTTAGGTAAGAAGAGCTCCCATTGGATAGGGACTCAGAAAAGGAGGATGGGAACATCCTCATCAATGGTGAGGCAAGAGGAGTCTGAGGGGTTCCAGCGACTGAACAGAGCGAGGAAGGCACATAGCAGAAGGTCTTGGAAAACTGTAAACAGATGTTTTGCCGTGCCTACAAAGTACTTGCTCTGAGAGTATTATTATCTATCTTTTTCCTGAGCAAGAAGCTGAGCCTGCCAGGCATGGAGGTACACGCCTGTAATCCCAGCATTTGGGGGAGGCTGAGGCAGGAGGAATGCTGTGAGTTTGGGGCCAGCCTGGGATAGACACAGAGTGAGTTCAAGGCTGGCCTGAACTAGATAGTAAGATCTTGTCTCAAACAAACAAACAAGAAATTGAGCCTCCAGGAGGTTCAATCACTGGCCCAAGGTCACATAACTGGTAAGGGCCAGCCAGAGCCAAGCTCTGAGCCACGTGCTGCCCCGCAGATGCTCACCTGGTCCGACGTGGGCTTCTGTGTCCTGGCCCGAAAGCTCCAAGTCTGCGGGCTGACTGTTGCTCCACTTCCTAGCCCTGAGGGACAAGGTGGGAAAGAACTATTGTCCCAGACTACTGACTCTATTGATTCCTGTGGGATCTCAGGCCTGGAGGCCACGGTCCCTATGGCTTGGGACAGAAAGCCAGGCATGTAACCTTACACCTTTGCAGACCCACCAAGCCTGGAAAACCTGCATCCAGTCCCTCTGTGCCTGTGGCTCTCAACCAACCCATGTGGTTCACCTCCAAGGGACTCTTACAGTGTATAAGGACATTTTTAGCTATCATAACTAGCCAGGAAGGAAGGGTGGGGTTTCTATTGGCATCTGAAAGGGAGAGCCGGCCATGCTGTCCAACAATACAGGCCGTTCACAGAAGTGAAGTGGAGAGATGCAGGGGCTCTGGGTACTGTCAAAGAGGTAGAGAGACTGTGAGTACCTGAAAGATTCCATCCGAACTGGGATGCCCAGAAGGGTATCCTCACTAAAGCTGCGCTGCAGAGGCCCCTGACGGATCACAGGCCTGGAGGCCACAGCCCCTGTGGCTCGGGACAGTGGGCGCCGGCCAGTCACATAACTGTGTACCAGTGCTGGCATGCTTGTGAATCTCTCTTCCTCCAGCTGAAAGAGGGCCGCAGGCCGGCCTGGTCGGGGACGCAGGGTCACGCGGAACACCTCGAAGTGCAGAGCAGACCCCCGCCAGCGGCATGAGATCACAGGGTGGTCCCCACGGGACCCAGAGGCACGAACCAGGAAGTCACCATCTTGGAGAAGAAGAGCTTCAGCCTTCTGCGAACAGAGGACAGGTGGCAGGGATTTGGGGATGAACCTGGCTGTTAATGACAACTCCTTCCCACCAACATCCCTACCCCCAATAAAAGACACCCCAGTGAAACTCCTGTGGCAGGCAGACTCTGGGTAGCTTCCCAACAAGCTATTTCCCATTTTCATGTGGTCACCCATCTGGACTACATTCCCAGGCTTCCTTGCAGTTAGCACTATCATGTGACCAGATCTGACCAATCAGATGAGGGTTGAGGTTCTGTGGGTAATGCTCACTCTGGACCTTGAAATGCTGCTGCATAATCGTATGGTTTCTGTGTTCCGTCAACTGGACATCCTGAAAATCCTATGGGACGGGGAAGTCAGGACGGACTTGGCTCCTGACTTAGTTATGAAGGTTCCTGTCCCCATTCCTCAACCACCTTGAGCTATGACACAAATGAACTCATGAATGATGATTGTATTTAGCCGGTGATGTCTTGGAACTGATGTTAGAGGCACTAGCTAATGCTGTCAAAAGATAATGTCCACCCTGACTGAATGACCTGGGCTTGCTATGCAAGTGTGGCCCTCTGATCGCCCCTTTATAAAAAAATTGCAAGCAATCTTATGTCGGCTATGGTGGCTGATGTCACAATATGGTAGGATGGCCAGGACCTTAGATGGAAGCAAAGCAGAGAGGGAGATGAAAGCTGGGAGCTGATTAATAAATTCAGTGACAGATGTACCACCTGTACCCTGGGCTACACCAATGTAAAAGGTATGAACTCAATAGACCTGTACAATAAGACTACTGGGAGAAATTACTGGCTCTTTAAAGATGGGACATCGAGCGGTAGGAAAGTCAAATGTCATTCCTAAGGTCACATAGTGTATAAGTCAAAGAGATGGGATTTGAACCCAGGATATCTGACTGGAGGGCATGGGATTTGAACCACCAGGCTCTCTTGCCTCCCATGGTATACTGGATGCCAAGGATTCAGGACTCCTGAGGATGTGACTCTCGATTTGGAAGTGGGATTGGGGAGCCTACGAGGGAGTTGCCAGGAAAGACTGGATGCAGAGGAAGGAACAGGCAGGCGAAAGGATGTTTGGGGGCATTCTGAGCTCCTCAGTTTCCATCACCAGCAATACCATTTAAAGAAAACAAGTACCACAATTGACAACAGCCAGCCAACCAGCTTCAACAGTCTCCAGCCCTCTGACTGCCTGTCCCAATAGACTTTGGTTCCATGTTCCTCAGGCAGGACCCAGGGGTCTCTCGGCCCAGGGTGGGAGAGGTCCCTGCCAGGTGGGGCAGGTGGGGTCATACCTGGCGTGACAGGGCACCATGGTACCAGGGTTGATGGGTGAGGTCTTCTCCATCCTGTGGCACTTGCATGGAGCCTTTTGGGGACAAAGAATGCCTGGGTTGGGCTCTATGCACTTTCAACAGGACTTGGTCTCCCACATCTGTAAAATGGGAGCAGTTAGCCTGTCCCCTTTGTGGCCAGGGCAGCCCTTTCCACTGTCCGCTTCATTCTGGACATGGCCGCCCACACTGCATTCACACCTTAAACTGCAATGACATGTAGTGCTCTAAATTAACCATGTTGCTTGTAGCCAAATTTTATGTTTGTGTGTGTATGTATGTCTTGGGCATTGAACCCAGGGCCTCGTGAATACTAAGCACGTGCACAACCACTGAGCTACACCCTCAGCATGCAGATTATATATTTTTGTGTATGGATAAAGTTATTCATAAATACATATACAATAAAAATTATGTATATATTTTATATAAAAACTGGCTTGAGGGCTGGTGAGATGGCTCAGTGGTCTAAAGCAGCTACTTAGAACAAGTTTAGCGAAACATATGGACCGCGGTTCAATCCCCAGCACCACATACCAGCCAGCCCCACCCCCTGGTGGGCTGAGATGGCCACACACACACACACACACACACACACACACACACACGCAAAAATAAATAAATAAATAATTAAAAAAAATTGGCTTGAGTAACTTAAATTTCATGTATTGTATTTAGAAATAAGCAGTGTTTATGCATATATGTATATATAATGTAAAAATGAATTATAAATAGTACAGATTTCATCAATACATATGTGTTATATCGGCATGCTAAATTAGTATTACATAGACATTCTATATATTACATTATTGTAATGTACATAATGTGTAATATATATAATATATGCATTATATAGAATATGCAGTATATATTTGTCAATATTGTATATGTATATTTACATTATATTTTATATCCATTATAGCTACACAATTAGATATATTATGTTACACAAGTATGTATTTGCTGCATATAAGTACGTATGTGAAATCTGTGCGTAACTTACTTATGTATAAAATACAAGTGACTTGTTAGATTTATCATTCCAGTGGCTCTGTGGAAGTAGTCATGGATCGGTGGGCTTCTTGCAAGACAAGGGGGATGGAATGGATGCAGGGAACACGCTTTCCAAAGTGCAGAGACGAATGAAGGTGCTGTCACACTGCAGTGCTTTGTAGACACTTCACTCACCAAGCCACTGCCCTGTACCAATGGGCACCTACGGTGCGCCAATGCCAGGCGCTGCCCCGGGCGCTGGAGCCCAGCCCAAGGGAGCCCATCTAGCAGAGGAGGTGGTGACTCAGACTCTAGCTGGTTGTTGGAGTCTGCCTCCGAGTGCTTGGGGGAAAAATTAAGCCGGGGTGGATGTGGAGAAGGTTCACGTGTCAGAGTGAAAACCCTCCCCAGGGCAGGTAGGCAAGGTGTTGATGAAAGGAAGGCCAGGATTACAGAGGAAGCGCACCAGTTGGTTCTCTGGGTTGAAAAGCATTCCAGGGAGGAGAATTTCATTTACAAACATGCACACAGCTTCCTAGCAATCTAGGCAGGGACTTCAGGATAAGAAAATCTAACCCATCACACTAGCATCTAATGTCATTTAGTCTCTTTTTCTATTTTTTATGATGCTGGGGAACTGAACTCAGGGCCTTACGCATGGCTCCATGCAGGTGCTCTAGCACTGAGCTACAATTTTACCTTTATTATTACATAGTGTTGACATTTGTCTCAGGAAGTTGGTACATACCTTGATCTACATATCTTAAGTTTTAATTCCTGCCCCCCACCCATCTTTTAGTCCCTTTTTTGCAAAAGATCTTTTTTTTTTTTTTAAAGGCCACATTTTAGGTACATGTGCAATTTTGTGTTTGTGGTTTCTTCTCATATTTTGGATTCCATCCCTTTCATTATTATTATGGTCAAATTAGGCATCAGACATGCTGGTAATTCCGTAACCTCCCACAGGCCCCAGGGCTGGTGCCTCTCAAGTGTCTAGTGGCAAAGCTGGATGAGATGGAAGGCAGTGGTGCTTTCTCTCCCCCCACCCAACCTGCCACGGTCTTGTGAATTTGGGGTGAGGTTGGCAGGTAAACAGTCATCGGGATTCCATCCCCCTGAGTCAGAAGGCTATGGGCTAGGTAGGGGCAGGAGGTTCCCAGTTCAGCCCTGGGCAGCTTTTGGGGCAGGCAGCTGGGCAGGGAGCTGGCTCCAGGTGCTGCATACCTGAAGCCAGGTGTGTTCTGAATGCCTGCACACTTCCTGTTTGTCAGCTGGGCCAGGCCCTGCCGCCTCATCTTTGAATCTCTCAAGTTCGTCTGTCTCAAGCCGATCCCGGGTGGGATGGGACGTGGATGGCTGTGAAGCTCTAGTCTGTTTGGGGAGCTCAAGTTAGGCACAGGTCAGCCACACACCAGCTTCGTGGTCCTCCTGCCTCTGGGTCCTTTGGGATAACTGGGCAGGGGAGAAAGGAAAGAGGAAGCAAAAGGGCTAGGGAAGGCTGAGAAAGGGAAGAGGGGACCATTCCTGCTTCACCCTACACAGGCGACACTTGTGTGCACCCTGGTGTAGGGGCAAAGGGGCAGCCACCGTCACCTGAGCAACGCGGACACAAGCAGACTCCGGATCCTGGGTCTCACATGTGACACTGAACAAAGATTGACTGAGTGCCTACTGTACACTACGCCCCGTCCTATATAGTTGTCTTCTAGAGCTCCCGGACTGAAGGGTAGGAGGACAGACACACTTGTGAACAAAGACAGTAATGCCGAGAGTGACCCGTGCCCGAGACAAAACAGGAAGACAGGATGGAGACGGCTGCAGCAGGCTTCAGGAGGTGGTGGAATGAGAGTTGAGACTGAAGGATGGGAGGAGGAATCCTCTGGATGTGGGATACAGCAAGTGTGGTTGGTAGTGAGATAGTGTCTCACCCTCTATCTCTCCTTTTATTGGCATTGGGCTTTGAACCCAGGGCCTTTGTGCTGAGCTGTATTGATCTGCCTGCGCTAGGACTGAATTTGTGGTCCTCGGGCCTCAGCCCCCCCCAGAGTGCTGGGATTACACATGCACCCCTAAACCTGGTGTGGAGCTTGTTTTTCACACTTTACATTCTTGAGGAGCTGAAGTGGCTGGGATAGAACCAGCAAGGAGACAAGAGTGGAGGACTGCGAGGTTGGGCAGACAGACGATGGGGGAAAGAGCACGTAGGATCTAGGGCTTCCTGAATTTTAATCTCAGGGCAACGGACTGGAAACGTTGGAAAGATTTTACCTGAGGGAGGGGCACCGATTTGCGATCGCTCTGGCAAAAGAGGAAGCAAGCAGGATTTCCGTGTCCACAGGAAATGCACTTAGAGGAGCGTGCACAGGTGCGGCCAGGTTTCAGGACACGTGTGACCTACAGCGACCCAGTGATTCATCTGCTCTTGCTCCTTCTTATACCGCATGGGTGAACCCTCAGAAGCGGTCTGCGAACCTGCGGCTCCACCCTCATAATTCCCCGGACCTCGATCTGTCTAGGTCTCCCACTCACCTGATCCAGACCCGCGGGGCTCCAGCGCGGCTGCAGACAGGCAGAGGCTTGAGGATCTGCGGCTCGGCGGGCCAGTCTCTCCTTCCCTAGCAGGGCTCAGCCCTACCTGGAAGCCACACCTAGTCATCGGCCTACGCCCACCCAGTCTCCGCCTCCAGAAATCCCTTCCTCTACTGTACCCTCCCACGCTCTCACCCTCCCCTCGTTCTCACTCCGCCCCTCTGGAAAGTTTCTTAGCTACTAGCCACGCCCCTTTCGAACTGCTCTTCATAGATCCCGCCTCCCTGGGAACTCCGCGGTCTTTTCCCTCCCGATGGCTCCGCCCCCTTAGAACGCTGCCCCGCCCTCCTCCGATTGGCCACGCCCATTCAGTGCTCTCTGCCCATTGAGAAATTATGAGGATTTTCAATTTAAGGGCTCGGCTCTTGCCACGAGGGCTGGCCCTTCGCACCCGGACCAGGGTTCCGGGAGGGGGCGGGTAGGCCAAGGGTGGCGGTGGCTGTGACGTAGAGGAGGGTACACTTCCTTCTTACGGTCAAGCTAGGTTTCCTGGAAAGGAGCCCGGGCAGGTTTTGTGGAGAGACATATGGGAGGAATTATAAGTGGTCAAAACAGATTTTATTGAATGATTACTGTATACGAAGACTGTTTTGCTTGCATGATATTACCCTATAGGTAGGCGGGTACTATTCTTTCTCTCTTCCCCTCTTTTCTCCTCCCCTTTCCTCCCCTTCTGTCCCTTCCCTTCCTCTCCCCTCTCCTCCCTCATAACACACACTTCCCAAATGAAGAAAACTGAAGATCGGGGAACCAAGCCATCTGTTCACATTTACCTAGCTTGTGAGGGGTGGAGGTGGGAATCCAGCCTGTGTCCCCGGCGTGTTCTCCGTCGCCCCATTGCATCAAGGAGGCTGGGTTAACCCTGATCTGCACTCTTAATCCCGTGTGCAGTGAGGTGAATCGTTACCCATTTGACAGATGAGGAGATGGAAGGCCGGAAAACCAAGGGTGCTTGGGAAGGAAGAGTTTGGGTACTGCTTCTAGGGTTTCAAAACTGGGGGTTTCCAGGCTTAGTTCCCCACCTCTTCCCCTTCCACCCACAGTAGGGAGGACTTCAGGGTTGGTCGTCAGAAGGCGAGGGTCTCCCGTGCAGTACGGGGGTCCAGCGCCTCCTACTGGCGTCCGACAAACTGCAATGGGAAGCTGGGTCAGATGGGGGGCGACTTAGAGCTTGGTGGAAGACAGTGAGGGGAGAGGCGTCTAGTGAAGGACTCGGAAGACAGTAAATGTGAGCGAATTGATGCATAACACCATCACAGTCGAGAGGGAAGCTGGTGACTTGCATTTGGGTCGTGGCCATGGCTGTGCCCGAAAATGGATGGAGTTGGGATCACTGCCAGAGGTGGCATCAGTGCAGCTTTCGTTTATTTATTCGTTCAAGAAATATTTATGGAGCCCCTGCGCGTGCCAAGGGCTGGGTGGGGGCGGGGCCAGCAGCAAACAAAGCACGGACAGATTCCTAAAAAGAGGGGAAAGGAAGACCTGGTGCGGCGCTGCTCTTCTGTCCTCGCCGCACCGTGGGAGGCTGAGGCAGGAGGATCACAACTTCCAAGTCAGCCTGGGCAACTCTAGTGACTTAGACCCTGCCTCAAAATACAGTATAAAACAGGTCAGGAATGCAACTTAATGCAAAGGTCCTGGATTCAGTCCCCAGTCCTGGAAAAAAAAAAAAAAGTAGTCACTCTTTAGTCTCTCAGAACTGGGGTGGGGTGGTTTTGGGATCCCCGGGGATTCCAAACTCTGGCTGCTTATGTCCCTTGTATAAAATAGTGTAATATTTTCATATAATCAGTAGTGTGTACACAGTTACTACAGACACTATGTTTTTCTTTTTTTTAATTTTTTTTTATTTATGTGTGTGTGTGTGTGTGTGTGTGGCCAGCTCAGCTCACCAGGGGGCGGGGCTGGCTGGCATGTGATGCTGGGGATTGAACCACGGTCCCTGTGCTTTGCTAAGCTTGTTCTAAGTAGGTGCTTTAGACCACTGAGCCATCTCACCAGCCCCTAGACACTATTTTTCTGCCTATTTTTGATCTGTGACTGGTTGACTCCAAAGACGTGGAAACCAGACACAGAGGGCTGACTGTATAATAAATATTGGGTTTGTGCTTTGGTAATCAGGGTTTAATGTAAAAGCATAGAAAAGATGGGATGGAATGGGGAATAGCTGCGATTTGGAATGGGGGCTGGGGAGGCCTCCGGAGCGTGGGATGCTGAGCGAAGCTGTTAGGAGGAGGGAGGTGGCCGTGAAGTTGCCTACGGCGGAGGGCATGGCCTGTGCAAAGGCCCTGGGGTAGGGTCAAACCTGAACCGAAAAGGCCTGGGTGGCTAGAGTAGAGGGTTACAGGGGTAGACAGGGAGGAGGGGGTTCAGGCAAGGGCCTTGGAGGAGACTGGGGCTTTTATCTGGAGGAAGTGGGAGCCGCCGTGGGAGGCTGTGGGTAGAGACGAGACTCAGTGCTCACAGGCGCCCCCTGGCCGCTTGGGGGAGGACAGACTGTGCAGGACAGGGCCTGAGTCCAGACACCCGGCTAGGGATGACCTGTCCGACCACGCTGTAGGAGGCAGAGGAGAAGGCGACCAATGAGGGGGATTCTGGGTGGGTTGCAGAGGAACAATGCAGCGAATCGCCCCACAGTCCAACTGGCCCCTCTCCCTCTGGTCCCCAGCTCTCGGGTGCCCAGGGCTGTGCCGAGTGGGAAGAGAGAGAGGCCCGGTCCTGCGTGGAGGCCACGGGGCGGGACAGGGCTGCAGGTGCTCCCCCTGCACCCCACAGCTCCTCCTCCTCCACCCCTTTTCTGGGCGACAGTTACAGGCACAGAAGAGGAAGTGGTAGCCTAGTTGTCGCTCCCCGGGCGGGAGGGCGGGTGGGCGGACGAGTGGTGGTGGAGGCTGCCAGGGTGCACAGGCGGGCGGGCCGAACTGTCGGTGGCCATGGAGCTGTGGCGACAGTGTACCCGCTGGCTCATCCAGTGCCGGGTGCTGCCGCCCAGCCACCGCGTGACCTGGGAAGGGGCGCAGGTGTGTGAGCTGGCCCAGGCCCTCCGCGATGGCGTCCTCCTGTGTCAGCTGCTCAACAACCTTCTGCCTCACGCCATCAACCTGCGAGAGGTCAACCTGCGGCCACAGATGTCCCAGGTGAGGTGCCTAGGTCAGAACTTGGGGAACAGGGGGCGGCAGAGCAAGGATTAACACTGTAGAGGAGGTGGCCCGAGAGGGGTGAATCTGCATGGAACCAGGACTGGAGCTGCCCCCTACCCCTGGGGTGGTTTACCACTGTGCGATTCAGGGGTGATAACCCCAAAATAACAGTTCTCTTGGATGAGCCAATAGCTCTCAGTTGACCCTGGTGGAGGTTGAGGACAGGCAGATTAGGATTAACCCTCCCAACTCCCAGGCTGACTATGGGGACAGTCTTGGGGGTCCTGAAGGCACCTGGCAACGCTGTACGCAGCTAACAGGGTGCCTGGGGCTTTGGCCTACTGTGACCCCAGATTCTGGCCAAGAGGGAGGGGCCTCCACCTCCTTCCTCACATGGCCTCCTCCTCCTCTAGCCCGGGCCCCTTCCTTCCCCTACATCTGTCTTCTCCTTGGCTTCCTGCCTGGGCCCGGGGCTGTGGGGTGCCAGTAGGGGCTACGGCTCTGGGCCACTGAGTTTTTGCTCCTCACCCATCCTGGAGGGGATGTTGAGACAAGGCCTGGTTCTCGGCTCCCAGAGTAGGCCTGGGGTTAGGAAGCCTAGAAGGACATTTTCTCTGCTAGGATTCCCATGGCCTTGGTGGCCCAGGTGGTGTTAGGGTTAGCTGAGCATCTTCCCAGTTGGCTTGTTAAACATATTTAAATCTCCATGTGAATGTGGTTGGAGGTGAGGGGAACAGGGGACCCAGACTCTCGGTGCCTTCTCAGCTTCCCTGGGGCTGTGGGGTGGGTGGTGCAGGAGCTGGCACTGTTGTCCCCCAGCCCAGGGGTGTGAAGAGCTACAGCCGGATCTTGGAGGTGAGGGAGACATTGCCTGAGCCTCAGCCTGAGCTCTAATGATATACGGTTTTGTCTTGGGCTCTAGTGACACAGCCCTGCATGGGAGTCTGGGGACACAGCCCTCCCATGGGCGCTCAGAGGGACATGATCTGGGCCTAAATTCTGGGGACACAGCCCTCCCTTGGTGCCCTTCCGACTTCAGGCTGTTCCACTAAAATGAAGACCCAAGGAACCATGGTCGGGGCATGACCTTTTCTCTGGCCTGAGGGCCACGTGTGGCGGGACATGGGGAAGTGACTTCTCAGACAGGAGCCACTGGGGTGTCTGGGAGGCATTCCCAGGCCAAAGCCATCTGTAGAGGCTCTGTCCTCCCTTCCTGGGCCCTCAGTGCCACGGGGATTGCCCACAGGACTCCTAAGAAGGAGAGGGGCCCTGGGTCAGCCCTCTCCAGCCCCGCTGGCCCCTCTGTGACCATCTCGGATTTGCCTACATTTGCCTGACATCGTTTTTGGCTTCCAGGGCACGAGGAAGTAGCTGTGGGAGCTGAGGGGCCCCGGCCCAGGCAGGGAGTCAAGGTGCCCTTGATGTTTTAACAGCAGCTGGCAGAAAGCAGAGGCTGAAGGCTAGGCTGCACCTCCGTGCCTCTCAGCCAAGCTCGCATCCTGAAGGGTGTGCGCACCTTGTGCTCCTCTCTGTACTCCGGCCTCGCTTCCAGTCCCACAAGCAGCTGCGCTGGGAGCCTCAGTCCGGCCTTCAGAGTGCTCATGAACTCCAGGACACACAGCGAGCTGCTTCAGTCCTGTGTGCTCTGGGGGGCCTTGGGGTAGGGGAGGACATCAGCTTTCTGCATGAGGGCAACTTTGTGCTGGGTTGTGAAGAGTAAGGAGAAGTTCTTTCACTGTCAGGCTTCCTGTGCTCTGCTGTGAAGGCCCCGGGCCAGGCAGGGGTATGTCCTGACCCTCCCTGTGGGACAGGGGCCTCCACCTTTCTGAGCCTACTCATTTTGTCTCTCTTTGGAGCTGTATGTTGTGCCT